AAGGGTGCCTGATCGTCAAGATCCCAGAGCCTTTGACATTTGCCAACACCGGAAACCTCAAGACTCGTCTGCGTCGCCTGGAAGACCATGGCACGGAAAAGGCGCATCCTGCCCTACCTCGCGTTCGCCGTGCAGAACACAACAAGAACGTCATCTTTGATGTTCATGGCGTCACTTCGCTCGACGGCGCCGGTGCCCAGGTCCTGGCTGAGATTGTAGAGTCTTACAGGAAGCGGGATGTCAGAGTCTTCTTCTGCAGGGTACCGCAAGAGTCTAGTCCCGTCTATCAGCTGTTCGACAAGAGCGGTATTATCGAAATGTGTGGTGGTCCAAGACACTTTGTACAGAGTGTCGAGGAGGCGCTTCGCATGACCGAATTGGAGCGACTCACTGAAGAATGGGCAAGCTCTGCAGAGAGCTCCCGGGCTGTCTCCAGCAGAGCTTGAGTCAGTTCAACGACGCACGTAACTTCTTTGCCTATAGACGACGAACAAGAGTATGTGAGCATTGCATTTGGGAATTGGCGTATATGAGCGTTTCACTGCGATTAGACTTCCTGTATCCTCCGTTGAGCTTTGAGCAACGAACTTCAGTCTCGGTATCAATATGAAAAGCATCATCATTTTCCGAAATACTGTGTCAGAAACTCTGAATGCCTGGTGGTCTGCCAGGCATCCAGCAACTTTGCCGAGCGACGAGCCGGTCGCGAACTTCGGAGCTAGATCTGCCTCCAGGCCGTCGGCTGCGTACGATATCCTGCAACCGTTGTTCAGCCCCAACGCCTACCTCCAGTCTTCGTTTCCAATCACGCTCGAGACGATGCAATCGCTAAATGCACTCTTGTGCAAGACTGCCTCAAGCTCGCAGTGACGATGAATGCTGTCGTGACTAAGATTCGACAATGCCGTGTCCAGAGATCCCCAGATGCGGGGATAAGCCGGTGGACGCGCCACCACCCGTGGGACAGCACCGCGTCTTCACTCCACTTTGGAGGATCCTCACCACCCAACACCGGTACGCATTATAAGCTGGAACCAGCTCACGCGACCAACTTCCACACATAGTATCACCAATCAATGTCGTATCGACTGCGAGCCCACAGCCTTGACTTATCTCCAACCGTCCGCGGATGTCTGAGCGCAGCGCGTTCAGACCGTTGGCGCCCCAAGCCTTTGACGTCAACCAAGCTTTTCGGCGGCCTTCAACAAAGCTTCGCTGTGCCGTCTTTTCCAAGCCAAGCGACGCTTATCACCTCTTGACCACTCTTAGCACGCAGTAGCCCCTGTCGTGTCGCCCATACCATGTCGCCTGCTAGCCAACTCTGGTCTATCGTGCCGCGCCCCGCAGGGGCGCCATTGGATGGCAGGTCAACATGCGGGGTTGCGGGGACGTCATGAGGATGTCGAGGATGCATGCTCGGGTCGCACTGGTTATCTGTGATATCGTTTGCGGAAGGTTCAACGATGATCGCGTGCATGTCTAGTGGGATTAAAGAAAGCGTCGCGCCCTCGGTGTGTTGTGAGCTCTTGTAAGCTCAACAGTCTGTCGATCTCGTTCGGAGAAAGAAGACAACACTTCCCCTCACGCTTCGCGTTCTGAAGTTACCCGCGGGTTGTCCTCAATTCACGATGTCGGACGAGAAATACGACACTACCGAGCAGCGCGAGTTCGCGCCACCGGCCGCAAAGATGTCGGCCGGTCGCTACATGGCAACGCGCATCCCCACTCTCAAGCCTGCCCACGACAAGGTCGCCAACCCCATCGCGCTGCTGCGTATGCTGAATCTCCAGCAATGGCTCTTCTTCCTCGTCGCTTTTGTCGCCTGGACCTGGGACGCGTTCGACTTCTTCACCGTCTCCCTCACTGTGGAAGATCTTGCCGAAACCTTTGGTAAAACCAAGGCGGATATTACATGGGGTATTACATTGGTCCTCATGCTGCGAAGTGTGGGCAGTATCATCTTTGGCCTGGCGGCTGATCGCTATGGAAGGAAGTGGCCTTTCATCATCAACAACCTACTCTTCATTGTGTTGGAGCTGGGCACAGGTTTCTGCTCGACCTACAACGAGTTTTTGGGAGTAAGGGCTTTGTTCGGTATCGCCATGGGTGGGCTGTACGGAAATGCTGCTGCCACTGGTGAGTCTTCCTTCCCATCCCCGCATCATGCAGATAGCTGACACTGTCACAGCCCTTGAAGACTGCCCCGAGCAGGCCCGTGGAATCATCTCCGGTATGCTACAACAAGGCTACGCATTCGGGTACCTACTGGCCACCGTCTTTGCACGCGCGTTCGTCAACACCGTCGGTCACGAATGGCGACCGCTGTTCTGGTTCGGTGCAGGCCCACCAGTTCTGTTCATCATCTTCCGTCTCTGCCTCCCAGAAACAAATGCTTACCTCGAGCGCAAGCGGATACGCGAAGAACAACCCAATGCCGCCAAGGTCTTTGCTCAGGAGGGCAAGGTTGCGTTGAAGCGCCATTGGCTTTTGCTGATGTATCTTGTCTTGCTCATGGCGGGCTTCAACTTCATGTCGCACGGAAGCCAGGACCTCTACCCGACTATGCTGAGTAACCAGTACAACTTCTCCTCCAACCAGGTCACAGTCACACAAGTCGTCGCCAACCTTGGCGCCATGACCGGTGGTACCGTCGTCGGCTATTGCTCATCCATTTTCGGTCGCCGTATCAGCATCATCGTCATGTGCGTTATCGGCGGCGCTCTACTCTATCCCTACACATTTGTCTCCACCAACGCTGTCATTGCTGCAGCCTTCTTCCAACAGTTCTGCGTCCAGGGTGCGTGGGGTGTTATCCCAATCCACCTTATGGAACTCTCACCAGGATCGTTCCGCACCTTTGTCGTCGGTACATCTTATCAACTCGGAAACCTTGCTTCTTCCGCCTCATCGACCATCGAAGCGACTATTGGCGAGAGATTTCCACTTCCACCGAAAGGCAAGACGACCCGTTACAAGTACGGGCTGGTGATCTGCATCTTCATGGGATGCGTGTATGCGTATGTCATACTACTCACGGCTTTGGGACCAGAGTATCGAGGGAGAAGCTTCGATGTGGCTGCCGACGAGGATATGAATGTTGTTACTGGTGCAGATGATGGCAAGTACGGTGCGAGACACGATAGTGAGGACGCGGAGGCGAGAGAGCGTGTGTAGAAGTCGCGTTCCGAGGGACGCTTACCGAGTAGCTTTCTAGTCTTTCCCATAGAGCAAGAAAAATACATGATACTTCTAGACTTTATCTCCAGCATGCAAATGTTGTGTTCTCACCGTAAGCGTTAGCGGTGTTCGACAACCGGAGTTGGCAACCGCCTTGTCTTTGAGGCTGTGTCTACCCAATGTGGAGAGACAGGCCAAATATCTGTACTCGTGTGATCGCATCTATTAAATTGTATATTGCCTGATCCATGGCGTTGACGTAGGCAATTTAGACATTTCAAGCAAGCTCGGTGCTGCCATTGGCCACAATTAAAATCGGCAGCGGCATCCGTCGCTAGCGTTGTACGACTGGTAGCCGCCTCGCACACCAAATAGATTGTCTTCATCACTCGTAATCTATGCAACACTCACATCGTCTTGTACATCTTCGCTTACAGCCAATTCGCGCTCAAGGTTCGGGTCTCTCGCGATGGGTACGGCTCTTTCGACCTTATTGCCGGTGGGTGTCTCGTAACGAATGCGCCAGCCTAGGGCAAGAGACAAAGTATATATGTCGCTCGGGAGATGTTGATATGCCGGCACCAACTGCATATTCATTGCATCTCATCTCCAGGTTCGGCCAAAGATCTCCGCCAAGATGAAGTCCTCTGTTGTTTTGCTAGCAGCTACTGCGTCTGTCGCCAGCGCTCACTGTACGTCCCGTTGCACCGCTCGCCTTCCGAACACGCAAGCTGACCTCTCAAGACACTCTCCCAAGCATCAACGGTGCCGCAGCCTGGACTAGTGTTCGTCAAGCCAAGAACTGGCAGGACAATGGATTCGTTGGCAACGTGCAAAGCAACGACATCCGCTGCAACCAGCTTAAAGCAGGAACAGCGACCACCACTGTTGCTGCTGGCTCGAACGTAAAGGTCAGCGTCAACCCGAACGCTTACCACCCGGGCCCCTTCCAGTCGTACCTTGCCAAAGTACCAGAGGGCGCAGACATCAACACCTGGGACCCTACCGGCGCCGTCTGGTTCCGAATTTACGCCGAACAGCCCAAGTTCGGTTCCCAGTTGACCTGGCTGAGTATGTCTCTCACAACGCTCTTACCCTGCTGCCATATACTAACATCTGTCCGCGCAGGCGCTGCCACCTACGACATCAAGATCCCCCAATGCATTGCACCTGGAAAATACCTGATGCGCAACGAGCACATCGCCATCCACACTGCTCAGAGCGTAGGCGGAGCCCAGTTCTACCTGTCTTGCGCACAGCTTGAGGTTACTGGCGGCGGCAGCAAGGCGCCCTCGAACCTCGTCGCGTTCCCTGGCGCGTACAAGGCTACCGACCCGGGTATTCAGATCAACATCAACTACCCTATTCCTACAAGCTACACCAACCCCGGCCCGCCTACTTTCACTTGCTAGATGCAAAGGGTTTGAACTAGGGTCATATATGCTTGCGTGGAGCAAAGCTTGAAGGCTACGTTGATGTAGATGTAAATAGGTGTTTCATAGACAAGAGCAGTTTGCGAATGTTACGACGTGCATAGAGTTCACCTTTTGATGAACCAAGGAAACTTTCACTTTGGCAAAATGGCTTACACAAATGAGATATTGATGTATTAACTTTTGTCTTTTCGTTCTCAATACCCTGGAAATTGACCACGAAGATCAATTTACCACTGAAGTAACAAACTCGTAGGTACCTCCTAGCATGACACCAACCGACTGCTCATCTCCGAATCCGATCGAGCGTCTCGCTTACACCGGTACCTCCAAAACCAACCATACACCTAATCTACGCTCCATCCGAGAGGCCAAAACTCCCCATCCACCTCAAATAGCATGATAGCGCTCAGAAAGCTTCTCCGCATCATACATCTTCGCAGTCGCCCTCTCCAACTCATCCGCGACATACTTCCAAAAGTTGCGCTCACACTTCGCCACCGCATCCATAAGCTGCTCCGTCATCTGCGGCGTCTCCAAATCATTCTCATGTACCTCCGAGGGAACCGCATGACGCAAGTTATCCTTGAGCTCCGTCGCGTTGTTGAAGTCCTTGATGCGCTTCTTGCCCGCCTTGCTAAGAACACCTGTTCCTTCGGCGTTGGAGTACTGGTTTGGGTTGCGCAGGTGCATGTAGTCCTTTGGGTCGAAACCGATTTCGCCGGCGGAGGTGGCGATGCGGAGCGCGTTGCGGACGAAGCGGCTGTAGACAGCGGCGTCGGTGAAGGTTGCTGGTTCGCCTTTGGAGAGGCGCTCTTGGTTGAGGTGGCTGGCGATTTCGCTCCAGGGGAGCTTTTGGTCTTGGCGGAGGGTCTTGATGAGGATGTTTTCGGGGTCTTCTTCGACGTTGGGGCGGGTGCTGGTTTTCTTGTCCTGGGGCATGAGTACGGAGATGTTGGTTTCGATCTCCGCCTTTGTGGCTTTTGCGCGCTTGAGTCCGTCCATGACGCTGTAGTTGTATGGGCCTTGGGTTCTCGGACGATTAAGGGAGTAACTTCCGTGGGCAGGGAAGGCGTGGTCAGAAGCTTCTCCGTCTTCTGGTTCAAACAATGGAGACTCCGCTCGGTTACTGGGTGGCGCGAATGAGGGATGGAGCGTTTGGGAAGAAGGAGATTGATAGCTGCCTGAGGGGTATAAGTACCAGTCAGTATAACAGTTTGTTACTAGACTCACTTGGGCTCTCGGTGGCGGTACTCAGGTGAGAGAGTGGACCACTGGTGCTCGTGATCTTACTGCCCCGTGCAGTCTTGATCGTTCCTTTCTTCACTCCGTCGTTGCTGACTCGCTTCTTACCGCGGCGAAACATTGCGTCTTTCCCAGCAGCGTCATAGAAGAACACATCCTCTCCCCTTTCTTCGCCCGAGAAGCCCATGTCCGGCAAAATGACTTGGTCATCTTCAGCCAAATCGCTCGCGCTGGCAGGAGACGGCGACAGCCTAACAAAAAGAGCTCGTTAACTTCAGTTCTAAAAGAGTGGATGACGTCCGATGCTATGCGCAACGCAGCGGAATACGATGGACTATCAGACGGCGACAGTGATTGTGATCATACGCGCTGCCGGCGACAATAGTCCAAACACCCTCAGAGCAACTTACTGATTATCATCTTGGACAAAGTCCGTGTCGGATCCGAAATTCACAATAGACATACTTGCGTTCTTTCGTACGATAAAGAATACAGAAGACAGAGAGGAAGGAATTGACAAGGCTATTGTACTTAGTCTCGTACATTGCCTGATGTATACTGCATGTGATGCTGTGCAGCCTGAGGCACGTCATTCGTGGGCCGCAAACGGTGTCCGTGAAATGCTTGGGCCGTGAGGGGCTCCCAATGAATATGGCCACGGTCATCACGCCATCCGGTAGCGCGGTCTCGCTCTGTGATAAAATCGCAACCCAAGCGCCTGTAGTTAATGATAGGCCAGAAGAAGAGCACGCTTGGAAAGGAATTTACAAGTCTCGTGTGCAAACGCTTAGCGTTTGCAATCAGAATCGTGTCGAGGAGTCTAGATCTAGATTATGAATTGCGACCCAACATGTTGCGAAAGTCTCAAAGTGCGGAAGTAGCCTATGAAGCTTCTGCGTGATGTGTCAAGGTAAGCAGATTAAGCAGAATCATGTCAGAAGAGATCGGAAGATAGCTCATCGATTATGTGGCATGTTGCAAAGTTGGAGGTTCAAGTGGCAGCGTTGCGGCCAAGATATATCATTATGTACACAATATGTTGTCCAGCGTGTCGAATAAGGTAAGGCCTTTATGCGACCATACGAGTGATGAAGCCGTCCCTATGGAGTCTAAGATCAGTTGACTACCTTCCTACTTGTGTATTGCGGAGAAGACTAAAGCTTCGGCCCTGTTCAATCCGCGTTGCGCCGTGTCGGCTGGTGGTCCCGTGCTTCTCGTCTCATGAGTGTCTTTTGGCTGCTTACGAGGAAGCAGGGATCGAAGAAGAGACTTGGTAGATGCCATCGTTGACCCTGACTTCGATGACTCGTTATCCGACTGCGATTGTTTGCCGGAGTTAGGTCTATCGGTTGTTGACATGGTCTGGAAATTTTCGTGAAAGAGCTTGCTTTTGGTGTGTAGATGAGCTTTGGATGACAGTGGTAGCAGGCCGTATGTGGACGCCTGCTTGTTGTTAAGTAGATATGTAGGGGCGCTTGCTTGGTTTCACACATCCTGCTTCGTCGCCTACAGTCATAGCAAATTATCAAATAGAATTAGCACAATCATCGATCCATCGCTAAGTTAATACCGTATACAGTACAGATACATAGTTTGCGAAAGTCGATTTGTGAGCTCTTCCCAGCAAGTCGACTCAACGGCAGATGTGTGCGCACGACAGTCTCTGTGAGTAGGCGAAGAGACAAACAGTTCTACAGCCGAAGAGTGCAATGTTCGTTGTCACTGCAAAGATTTTTGGCTAGAAGACCGTCCGTGTCGGATGTTGACGTAGTAATGACGAAAGGAGTATAGTGCTTTCCGCATCGGCCGCACTCCCGCGTCATCGGAGTTTGCTGATCGTCACAAGTCAGGCGCGTACGCGTGTTCGCGCACCGACACGCGCACTCATAGAGCTCACAGTTACCATTTTCATGCCTGATCATACGATGAGGATCTTGATGATGATATCAGCAGATCCAAGTCACACAATCGCGAGCCCGCTAACACATCATCGCTACTTTGACAAACGCACATTGATTCATCGCCATCACACGTCAACAAATATGTGGGCTCGTTACTCGGCAGAAACGCTCATTCATATATTTACAGCTAATTTGAAAGCGGACTGCCTACGCAGTCCAACGGCGCATGGTGGAGTTTGAGCCAGCGAATGTGGATCCAATCTCACCCCACTTGATCTGGCTGAAGGTGACTGTAGGTGCCTTCTCAATCTGTTGGATCGCCTTAGGGAAGCCTTCAGTCGCATTGCATGGTCCGGATCCGGACTCTGAGCCGTCAAGCCATTGCATGGCACCGCTCTCATCCCACCAGATACTCAGCGCGAGAACCATACCGCGGGCCAGAGCATCACCCATGCCCTTGTGGCCACCAAGCTTGCTGTACATCTCAGCACCAGGTTGAGCACTGCAGAACTCCTGGTCCATAATGATCTCCTTCCTGGCGTTCTCAATGACGACGCCGTCCTGGACGTACTTGCGGACAATGGCCTGGAGAACGCCGTCCTTGGCAGGGAACTGGGTGATGACGGTGAAAGGCTTCGTGGTGTCGACTTTAAGGCCAGTACCGTAGTAGTCTGGAGAGCTTCGGTGCTTGTAGGGATTGTCTCCGCATCCATTCTTGTCGCACAATCCAGCCTTGCCGCACTCATCGCCTGTGCAGCCAAAGAGACCATCGGTACTGCAGGTGTGAGGCGCGATTTGGTTGGAGCGAGCGTTTGCCTCCCAGATATCCATTTCGTTGCAGCAAACACCCTGACCCTTGACGTTTCCCTGGAACGAGTAAGCATGAGTACTGAGAGAGAAGGCAGCTTGTACTTACTACACCGTTGATCCATGGTGTAACGAAGCACTGAGCGTCACAGTATCCTGTGCCATAGGCGGCGCCACCTGGGTTCAATTGAGAACGTCCACCATCAGCCTCCATCTCGCTAAGGTAAAGGGCGCCGTTCATGCCGCATGGCAGCTTCGATACGTCGACGTCGAAAGCCAGCTCGTTACCGGTCAGTTGAAGCATCTCGTAGTTCTCCTCGTCCTCGGCCAAGAGGTAGACCCTAGGGCTAGCTTGGCCGCCACTGGGGTTAAACATGTCCAGACGAAGCTCGCCTCCGGTAGTGTAGACACCCATCGTGGAGTAGTCTTGGATGCCTTCCATGATGCAGTTCTTCGCACATGTTTCCTCATCAGGGCACGCAACCGGGTCGGCTGCACTACCCCAGTTTCCGCAGCCGAGTGTTGAGTTCTTCTGGTGGATATTATGGGAAGCTGAGTCGGTGACAATAGCGGTGCTCTGCTCTTTGCATCCTCCCGCTTTGGTGCACTTCCAGGTGGTGAGCTTGGGGTGCACTTCTGGTGTGTTGCCTGGCGTCTGGGCAGCAGCAAGACCTAGAAGGGTCGCCGCGATAAGGGTGTAAGGAGCCATGATATAACGATTGACTAGACGTGAACTTGAAGGAAGGACTTGCAGAGCTTGGAGAGGTGCGAACCGTGAGCCTCTTTATAGCTGCTTTGACAACCAGATGAAGCCGCGGGCTGTTCCTGTACTAATGGACTGCATGCATGTAACAATTTCAACATATTACAGGATATAAGAGCCGCAATGTCTTGGAGCCTGCATTTAGTAAACATCGTCAATGGACCTGGCGGCTGTTGCTGCCATTGGCCGCAAGCTCTGCCTCGGCCCTATTATCAAGGTCGCAATTGTTTCGAACCCTCGCCGCAAGATCTTGACAGCGCAGAACGGTCCGGAAGAACATGCAGAGAACCTTCGACAATCTATTTGGGAGATTGCTATTTGCTCAAATATATTGCATTCGATCACGGGGCCCCAGATGGAGGTTTCACGCGGGGCATTTACCCGGTGTTTGCTCGGCGCAAAGAGAGCTTGACTTATACAAGCAGGTGCCCGCCCCTTTGCCGTGCTTCTCACAACCAAAAGCCCACCGGGAACCCGGTTCTGAGTCCGCAGTTGTAGGAGGTCAACACAAGCGGCGAACAAAAGCAATGTGCGGCGGCAAGAAAGAACCAGGTTACCGGGTGAGCAGTCCGATACTCCTGGCTGGGAGCGCTATGCGACCCTCTCACTGTTCACTGTAATGTGTCCTTTCAATGCGCATCTCTTCGCGTGCGCTCGTCGCAGTAAGTTGCAAGTACCAAGTGCTCAGCTCAAGCTTCTCCTGTTCTACCATGCGTTGAAGAGAACGGTATCAGTGGCTGTGGCTACAGTTTCCTGGCACCGTTTTCCCTGCGTTTACGTTTACGACCATCTCTTACTTCTAGTACTCGCCGCACGACTCCCGAGCACAGTCTTTCTTTACATCCATTGATGAACGTCTGGGTATCGTCGTCCACGACGATCAGGTTATCGCCAGCCGTGCTGCAGCCACGGAGCAACGAATGACTCGGTCGCAGCTGCTCACTCATCTTCGTCGATCTGATGTTTCGTGAGCCCGAAACAATCGTACGGATCTTTGAGCAACCCGCACCCCACTCTTGACATGGCAGCCGTCATGGCTTCCACACGGCACACCATATCCAGCTCTTTCACCACGATGTCGGTCAGATTCTTCCGATTTCTCTTGGAAAGTGGATTCACAAGACAACGGCTGTCAATGCGCCTGGCTGGCATCGCATTCAAACGGAGCTTTCGTCCCGCCCGGGACGATACAAGCTTGGTGTCTGCTCGCGGAGAGTAGATTTAGATGGCAAAGCCTTCCATCAATCTCCTCTCGAACCAGCACCTCGGCAGTGATCGGATATGACCAACTTCCGGAAGTCGGGTAGGAAGTTGGAGTATGTTTGGCTGCCAACTTTTGACAAGTAAATATTGTCGCGGAGTCTAGCCCAAGTGTGTGGCTGTCGTTGCCCTGTTGGGTCAGTCCCGCTATCGGGTTTTTAGTCAAGTGGGTCACCTCAACTGGTGAAACTCACAAGGAGCAGCCCTGCGCCGGAGTAGCGCCGACGGAAGCTCTAACACCCTTTGCGTTGCCATTTCCGCATGTTAAATCCAGGCACCTTGGCTAAGGCCCCTAGTTCTCCGCATTTGCGAACGTTGACGGAATTGCCGTCCCGGTATCGATTGTGGCGCCACCGTCTCCAGATGGACCAACAGGATTGAACGGCAAGACACCACAGTTTCGACGCGAACCTCAAGCAATAAAGCAAAGTCATCAACATTGCTTATGACAAAAGC